TGGGTTCGATTCCTCAGCACCACATAAGAAAAAAGAAAAAAGCCGGAAGTGGCGCTGTGGCTCAAGTGGTAGAGCGCTAGCCTTGAGCTGAAGAGCTGAGGGACAGCGCCCAGGCCGAGTTAAGGGCCCACGACCGGACCCAAAAAAAAATAGGGATACAGATTGACCCATTGCAACGAGATGTACAAGACTCTATGTTGAAAAATGAACTTTACAATTTGGTGGGGGTGGGGGTGGGGGGTGTAGCTTAGGAGGTGGGATGGGAAGGGATGGTAGGGGAAAAACAAAGGAGGAGGCAACAATGCTGGGTAAGAAATGTAGTCATTAGGGGCTGGGAAGGTGGCTCAGTGGTAGAGCACTTGCCTTGCATGCATGAAGCCCTGGGTTTGATTCCTCAGCACCACATAAGCAAAAAGAAAAAAGCCGGGAAGTGGCGCTGTGGCTCAAGTGGTAGAGCACTAGTCTTGAGCTGAAGAGCTGAGGGACAGAATTCAGGCCCCACAACTGGACCAAAAAAAAAGAAAGGTAGTCATTACCTTGATCATGTAACTGTAACCCTTTTGTATGGTATTTTTACAATAAAAAGCAATTAAAAAAATAGTCTCATGAACATTCCTTCCCCAGGCTGGCTTTGAACTGAGATCCTCAGATCTCAGCCTTCTGAGTAGCTAGGATTACAGGTGTGAGCCACTGGTGCCAGTTTAGAAAACAAAACTCTTAAAAAAAAAAAAAAAAAAAAAAAGCTATAGTAGCCCCTTCTGAGTTTGTAGAAATAGTTGGTAAATAGGTTGGAGACTAACGGCAATGTCTGTAATCCCAGCTATTCAGGAAGCTGAGATCTAAGGATTGTAGTTCAAAGCCAGCTGGGACAGGAAAGTCTATGGGACTCTTATCTATCTAACCAGCAAAACGCTGGAAGCAGAGCTGTGGCTAAGTGGTAGAACACTAGCCTTGAGCAAAAAGGCCCAGGGACAATGCCCAAGCCCTGGGTTCAAGCTATAGAACCAAGACACACACACACACACACACACACACACACACGGACAATGCCCAAGCCCTGGGTTCAAGCTACAGAACCAACACACACACACACACACACACATGGACAATGCCCAAGCCCTGGGTTCAAGTTACAGAACCAAGACACACACACACAGGATTTATTGGTTTAAGGTTCAGTCAGAAAGATGCTTGGGAGTGAACAGAGTTACTGTCAATATTGTTCTGGGACAACAGCACACACTGGAGCATTCCATGACCCTGGGACGCACAGTGGTGTGGCTTTCCCTATGGGGACGTTAGAGGTTTAAAATGCCTGGTGCTGTGCTCATGGGAATGGAAGCCTTAGGGTCAGACCAGAGTGAGTGCTGGGAAAGTTTCCCTGGTTGGTTCTGGTCAAGGACAATGTTCTGTTAGACAGCCCTTGGAGACATTGACCTCAGAGTTGTTTACTGAATGGGTGTCAGGATGGTATGGCATGTGCTGTGCCCAGAGCTGGGACACTGGGGCTCCAGACATGGCTATGCACCACACCCAAGCAACCTGACAATCACAGAAGTGGGTTTGTTTGTTCGTTTGTTGCCAGTCCTGAAGCTTGAACTTAGGGCTTGGGCACTATCCTTTTTTTTTTTTTTTGTCATGGGTCTTGAATTCTGGGCTTGGCTGCTGTTCCTCAGCTCTTCAGCTCAAGGCTAGTGCTCTACCACTTGAGCCATAGCGCTACTTCTGGTTTTCTGGTTCATTGGAGATGAGTCTCATGGACTTTCCTGCCCGGGCTGGCTTTGAACCACAATCCTCAGATCTCAGCCTCCTGAGTAGCTAGGATTATAGGCGTTAGCTACTGGCACCCAGCCCTGAGCTTCTTTTGCTCAAGGCTAGCATTCTTTCACTTGAGCGATAGCTCCACTTCTAGCTTTTTAGTGGTTCATTAGAGATAAGGGTCTCACACTTTCCTGCCTGGACTAGCTTTGAACCATGACTCTCAGATCTCAGCCTCCTGAGTAGCTAGGATTATAGGTATAAGCCACTGGTGCTTGGTGGAAAGCTGACTTTTTGGTTTGCTCTAAGTGCCAGCCTTCAAGTCAGAACTGTGCAGACAAGAATGGAGAAGACCCACACCCCTGGGCTCTCTGTCCCTTCCCTCCCTCTTTGGAGCAGCAGCCATGTCTCCCTTTCTCTATCTACCTCTGACCTCCAGCCCCTTCTTATGATAACCTTGTTGCGACACTATCTCCCAGACGATCCTCCATTTTGTGTGTGTGTGTGTGTGTGTGTGTGTGTGTGTGTGCGCGCGCGTACACACACACCAGTCCTAGGGTTTGAACTCTGTAACTAGGATTAAAGGCATGAGCCACCAGTGCCTATCTTCTTCCCCCATCTTAACATCTTTAACCAATTACTCTGCACAGTGCCTTTGCCACATGATGTTAGAAAGCTACACTCCAGGGGACAAGGATGCGGGTGTCTTTGGAGAGCCATTATCCTGCCTATTAACAGTGGTATCTTGATTTGGATTTGAAATCCCTCAAAAGTTCATGTCTTGCAGGGCACTGGTGGTTCACACCTGTAATCCTAGCTACTCAGGAGGCTAAGATCTGAGGACTAAGAAGCCAGTCTGGCCAGGAAAGTCCGTGAGACTCTTATCCTCAAAAACTACTCAGAAAAAGCCAGAAGTGGCACTGTGGCTCTAGTGGTAGGGCACTAGCCTTGAGCACAAATTGGATAGCACCTAGGCTGAGTTCAAGCCCCAGGACTGGCAAAAAAAAAAAAAGTTCACGTCTTCAAGGCTTGGTCCTCAATGCAGCTTTTTTTTTTTTTTTTCTCCAGTAGGTGATTGGATCATGAGGGCTCTGACATCACCAATAGATGAACTTATTGACGGACTGAAAGCTGAATGGACTGTAGGAGGTGGGTGGGAACTGCAGTGGTGGGACCCGGCTGGCACAATCAGGTTCCTGGGGGTGGGCTCTAGAAGGGTGCTCCTCCACCCTGGCTCCAGGTTCCTTCTCTCTTCTTCTCAGCTGCCATAATGTGAGCAGCTCTGCTCCAACACTTACTGTCTGCTTCCATGCTGTGTCTCACCACAGCCCATAAGCAATGGAGCCAAAGGAACATGGACGGAAACGTTGAGCCCTGATCAGTCTTCTCCCTTCTAAGACCTAGGTGTTTGGTCACAGCCATGGAAAGCTGGCTAACACAGCAAATCTCTGCAAACTTCTTCTGGAAAGAGCTTGATAGAGCCAGGCTCACACCTATAATCCTAACTCCTCAGGAGGCTGAGATCTGAAGATTGAGGTGCAAAGCCAGGCAAGAAAGTCTGTGACTTTTTTTTTTTTTTTGGTGGTGGGGCTTGAACTCTGGGCCTGGGTGCTGTCCCTTAGCTCTTCAGCTCAAGGCTAGCACTCTGTCACTTGAGCCACAGCGCCCCTTCTGGTTTTCTGGGGGTTTATTGGAGATCGGAGTGTCACGGACTGTCCAGCCTGGGCTGACTTTGAACCGAGATCCTCGGATCTCAACCTCCTGAACAGCTAGGATTACAGGCATGAGCTACTGGCGCCCGGCTTCTGTGAGACTCTTATCTCCAATGAACCACTAAAGAGCGTGAAGTAGAGATGTGGCTCAAGTGGTAGAGTGCTAGCCTTAAGCAAAAGAAGCTCAGGGACAGTGCCCTGGCCACGAGTTCAAGCCCCAGACTGGTACTCCACTCCCCCCTCAAAAAAAACTGGCGCTTACTAAAAAATAATTGAGGTTTTGTTACAAGGATCTGTGACTGATTTTTCAACAATGCTGGGCTCCTTACTCACAAACCATTAAGAACTTGAAATTGATTGTAAGAGAAGCCAAAACCTGGTGGCTGCAGCCTGTACTCCAGTAGAGCCAACCCTATGTGTGAAACTCTATGCTGCAAAGTGATGTGATTAAACAAATTCACACTTCATGGTATGTTCACACATCACTAAGTTCCAGTTCTTTTGGGTTTTTCCAACCATATAAACAGGAAAAGCTCAGCTAGACACCACCAGTACAAATCAAGTGTAAACAGAATCAGGTTCTTTGTTGACATCTGTCTTGGGGCCTTTGCAAAGCTGGGGACTGACACTTCTCCACTTCTCCAGGATCAGCTCAAAACCCTGTCCTCACTAGCTGCTTTCCTGACCCAGAGTGATAAATCTGTGCCTTTGTTCCAGTCAGTGGTTGTGTCTGGCAGACCTTCCTTCCCTCATCTTCTTTCTTCAGCACCCCTTTGCTCTCATCCAGCTTAGATACTGTTCTCAGTGTAAGTCTTCTCAGCCCAGGCCCAAGACAGAGTTATGATCTGATAGAACCCCCACAGCTTGTGCTGAAGAAAGGGATAGAGCTGGGCACTGGTGGCTCACACCTGTAATCCTCAGGAGGCTGAGATCTGAGGATCGTGATTCAAAGCCAGCATGGGCAGGAAAGTCTATGAGACTAATCTCCAGTGAATTACCAGAAAATCAGAAGTGGAGCTGTGGATCAAAGGGGTAGAGTACTAGCCTTGAGTAAAAGAGCTCAGGGACAGCACCCAGGCTTTGAGTTCAAGACTCATGACCACCACCACCACCAACAACAGAAAAAAAAAAAGAGGGGGGGATTAGAACTTGTGAGGAATGGCTTTCCCTGGACAGTCCTTTAACCCTTACTCCTAAAGAAAAAAACATAAAAGGTCTCTGAGATTAAGCATATCTGAGTTTAAATCACCACACTGTTTCTGTTTATTTTTTTATTTTGGGTCCAGTCGTAGGCCTGAACTCTGAGCCTGGGCGCTTCCCCTCAGCTCTTCAGCTCAAGGCTAGCGCTCTACCACTTGAGCCACAGCACCACTTCTGGCTTGTTTTTTTGCTTATGGGTGCTGAGGAATCGAACCCAGGGCCTCAAGCATGCAAGGCAAGCGCTTTACCACTGAGCCACCTTCCCAGCCCCTCACCACACAGTTTCTATTAGACACATGTACTTGGATAAACCAGGACCTGGTCTCAACTTATAGCAAACCAGGCCCTGTATAGTGTCCCCTGTCAATCTCAGAGTCCCCTTTATGGCACATGTCTCCACAGTTGTGCTTTTCTCAATGCCAAATTCTGCCTCAGGGCCTTTACACTTGCTATTCTTCTGCAGGAATTAGGCTCTCTTTTGTGTCTCAAGATGAAACACTGCGTACATGGGAAGGCTTCCCTGGTCACCCCAAAATGAGTCTAAGTGTTTCTATTCGATGCTTTTCTTATATGCTGTACCTTTGTAGACTGTAATTATTTGGACTCTGGGCTCTATCCCTAGCCTGCACCCCCCCCCCGCCCCCCCCCAGGCCACGCCAAAAGTATTAGTGATCTAGCAATATCCTTTAGCATTGTGTTCCTGGAGCCCAGATCTCAGGGGGTGTAGGGGGAGGGCTGGGAAGGTAGCTCAGTGGTACAGTGTTTGCCTTGCATGCATGAGGCCCTGGGTTCAATTCCTCAGCACCACATAAGCAGAAAAAGCCAGAAATGGCGCTGTGGCTCAAGTGGTAGAGTGCTAGCCTTGAGCTGAAGAGCTGAAGAACAGTGCCCAGACCTAGAGTTCAGGCCCCAAGACCAACAGAAAACAAAATAACAACCAAAAAAAACTAGGGGCCCTTGGAGAAATGGCTGATTCCTAGGACTGTAGTAGGGTCTGCAGCATTTCACAATGCCATAGAGTACAGAAGTGTGCCCCTCCCCACCAAAAAAAGGCAAAAAACACACTGATAGTAGCATTTCCAGGGGTATAGGAACCAACTGAAAAGATAATGCTGCTAGGTACCAGTGGTTCACAACTGTAATTCTAGCTAGTCAGGAGATTGAGATCTAGAAGACTGAGGTTCAAGTCTAGCCTGGACAGAAAAGTTCACTAGGTTCCACCTCTAAAATAGCATAGTCCTAAGCTCAAATCACAGTACCATCAAAAAGCAAAAAAAAAAAAGCCAGGCCCCAGTGTCTCACATCTGTAATCCTAATTACTTAGGAGGCTGAGATCTGAGGATCAAGGGTCAAAGCTAGTCAGAGCAGGAAAGTCTGAGGCTCTTATCTCCAATTGACCACCGAAAATCCCAAAACTGGAGCTATGGCTCAAGTGGCAGAGCTCCAGCCTTGAACAACAACAACAAAAAAAGCTAAGGGACAGCAGGCAGGCCCTGAGTTCAAGTTCTAGTATGGGCACAAGAAGAAAAAGAAAAAAGGAGGAAAAGAAACTTTGTGGTGGAGAAATCTGACAAAACTACCCAAGCCAAGTGATCAACAAACATAATTGATGTTGATGGAGGGCTGGGTGGACGTGGTTAGTGGCAGAGAGTTCTGGCAAGCTTGAAGCCCTGGATCCCCGGCACTGTAAAAACAAAGAGAGAATAAATGATAGATGCGGATAGAGTATACCTTGATAGGGTATGATGATCAGGGTGGTGTACCTCTCTGGTCTCTCTGTTAATGACCCATTCGCAATCTTCTCACGTCAAATTCCAGGAAAGAAGCATTCTAAAATAACTATGAAGGTCATAGCCAACAAGGAAGGCTGCATCAGCCCAGCACCTAAGCATGCATAGGGGACCCTGGGAGGGTCCTGGAAAAGAAAAAACAAAGCCTTACATAAGCTATTAACTTAATTTGCAATTTAGTTAACAGCAAAGGATCCCTATTGATACGTTAATCATAGCAAATATACATTAATAAAAGGCCAGGTATGGGGAATAACTGTATTTTTTTCCTCCTCCTCCTCCTCTTTCTTCTTCCTCCTCCTCTTTCCTCCTCCTCCTCTTCTTCTTCTTCTTCCTGTTCTTTCTTTTTTTTCTTTTCTTCTTTTTTTGGTGAGTTGCAGGTCTTGAACTCAGGGCCTGGGCATTGTCCCTGAACTTTATTGCTCAAGGCTAGTGCTCTATTACTTTCAGCCACACTTCTGGTTTTCTGGCGGCTAATTGGAGTTAAGAGTCTCACTGGCTTTGAAACTCTAGGATTTTGTGGGATTTTTGTTTTGTTTTGTTTTGCTTTTTTGGTCTGGTCGTGGGGCCTGAACTCTGGGCTGGGGCGCTGTCCCTCAGCTCTTCAGCTCAAGGCTAGCACTCTACCACTTGAGCCACAGTGCCACTTCCGGTTTTTTTCTTTTTTGCTTATGTGGTGCTGAGGAATCGAACCCAGGGCCTCGTGCATGCAAGGCAAGCGCTCTACCACTGAGCCACCTTCCCAGTCCTTTTGTGGGGTTTTTTTGAACATTAGGATTACAGGTGTGAGTCACCAGTGTTTGGCTTGATAACTGTATTATTGTGGCAATAATCCTGTAAACCTAAAACTGTTTTAAAAAATAAAGTCCGTCCAGGTGCTTGGTGGCTCATACCTAGCTACTCAGAAGGCTGAGATCAAGGTTCGAAACCAGCCCTAGCAGAAAGTCCATGAGATTCTTATCTCTAATTAACGGTCAAGAAACTGGAAGTGATGTTGTGTCTCAAGTGGTAGAGCACCAGTCTTTAGTGAAAAAGCTACAGGACACTATCCAGGCCCTGAGTTCAACCCCAGTTAACTGTGCGCACATGTACACGTACACGCACGCGCGCACGCACGCATGCACACACGCACACACACACACACACGATAATTTAAAAATTAAATATAAAAGAATCCAGTTTTTCAAAGTAAGATGTAGTAGTGTGTGCCTGTCATGTCAAGTACCGTAGGAAGCAAAAAAATAGGAGGACCACTAGACAGAAAGTGAGACCCTATTTCAAAAATAACCAGAGTGGGCGGATTCTGGTGGCTCATACCTGTGTAACTCAGGAGGCTGAGATACAGAAGATTGAGGTACCAAATCAGTGCCAGCAGACAAATCCTAAAGACTCTTATTTCCAATTAACAACAACAACAAAATGCTGTGTCCCAAGTGGTAAAGTGGCAGCCATGAGCAAAATAGCAGAGGTAAGAGCTCAAGGCTCTTGAGTTTGAGCCCTAGTACTGGCACACACACACACACACACACTGAATGAATAATGTAATTAGTTGTTTATTTTCAACTCTTTTGTGTTCTTCTGTAAATTTAGAACCCATGATGTACAACTTACTTTTGTTTCTTTCTCGTTTTTTTTTTTTTGGGGGGGTGGGGGGGGGAAGGCGGGTGGTTGGTCACCAGGCTTGAACTAGAGTCCTGGATGTTATCCCTGAGCTCTTTTGCTCAAGGCTAGTATTCTACCATTTTGAGCCATAGCTCCACTTCCAATTTTCTGGTGGTTAATTTCCTGCCTGGGCTGCCTTTGAACAGTGACCCTCAGATCTCAGCCTCCTGAGTAGCTAGGATTACAGGCATGAGCCACCAGTGCCTGGCTTCCAATTTACTTATCCTTTTCAAGACCTCCAGGAAGAATCTACTTGATTTCTCTATTGTTTCTCCAAAGAGCAGTACATAATCTAATGCAGTAGCAAGATACATCTGCTGAGTCCTAGAAATGTGGTCAGTCCAATTTGATATGTAAAACAGACACTCAATTTCAAAAGCAGGTGAGAGAAAAAAAATAATGCAAAAGATGTCATGTTTTAATTTTAATCACATGTTTAAATATTTCGGCATATTGGATTAAACATTATTATCCAGGCACTGTTGGCTCACAACTATAATCTTAGCTGTTCAGGAGGCTGAGATCTGAGGTCTGGGTTTGAAGCCAGCCCTGGAAGATGAGACTCATCTCCAATTAACTACTCAAAAACTGGAAGTGGAACTGTGGCTCAAGTGGTAGAGTGCTAGCCTTGAGCAAAAGAGCTTAGTACCTAGGCCTTGAGTTCAAGTCCTATGACTGACCAGAAAAAAAAAATAGCAGAAAAATTAAGATAATCTGCTTCTTTCTATATATTATGTGCGTGTGCACGCATGCTAGTATTAGCACTGTTCCTAAGCTTTTTTTGCACAAGGCTGATGCTCTACCACTTAAGCCACACTTCTACTTCTGGCTTTTTGCTGGTTAATTGTAAACAAGAGTCTTGTGGAGAGGCTGGGAAGGTGGCTCAGTGGTAGAGTGCTTGCCTTGCATGCATGAGGCCCTGGGTTCGATTCCTCAGCACCACATAAGCTGAAAAAGCTGGAAGTGGGGCTGTGGCTCAAGTGGTAAAGCACTAGTCTACAGCTGAAGAGCTGAGGGACAGCGCCCAGGCCCAGAGTTCAGGCCCCACGACTGACAAAAAAAAAAAAAAAAGTCTTGTGGATTTTTCTGCCCTGATTGCCTTTCCAAGTGTGATCCTCAAATCTTAGTTTCCTTAGTAGCTAGGATTATAGACATGAGCATAAGCTACCAGTGTCTGGCTTATATCTTCTTTTTCTTTTTTTGCCGGTCCTGGGGCTTGAACTCAGGGTACTGTCCCTGAGCTATTTTTGCTCAAGGCTAACATTCTACTACTTGAGCGACAGCGCCACATCTGATTTTTTGTTTATGTGGGGCTGAGGAATTGAACCCAGGGCTTCATGCATGATAGGCAAACATTCTACCACTAGGTCACATTCCCAGCCCTTGGCTTACTTTCTTTTAAACACACCTAGTAACTTAAATGTCTTTTCTCTCCTTTTTCTTTTCTTTTCTTAATCTTCTTGGGTATGCTAGGCAAGTGCTCTATCATTGAGCTGCACCACCAGTCCATAACTTAATAAATTTATGTTATATATGTAAAGCAGAAATTTGTAGCCCGCTGAAATTTTAGAATGTTAATTTTAAATTATGCACAAGGCTTGCATATATTTCTCCAGGCCAGCACTAGCATAATAACGCCAACTCAAAAAGAGTAGATGTGTTATTTTGGTTTATTTTAGGTTTTTCTGGTGGCATTGGGGTTTGAATTCATAGCCTTACACTTGGCTAGGCAGGTACTCTGCCACTTGAGCCATGCCTCCAGCTCTAGGCAGATTTTGTTTTGGTCTCCTCACTGTCTAGTGACTGGCATACAGAATATATATATATGTATATGTATATATATATATATATATATATATATATATATATATATATATAGTCAGTCGTTGGGCTTGAACTTGGAGCTTTGGCGTTGTCCCTGGGCTCTTTTGCTCATCCAGCCCTCTACCACTTTGAGCCATAGTGCCACTTTGGGTTTCCTGGTGCTTAATTGAAAATAAGAGTCTAAGTGGCTTTCTTACTTGGGCTGGCTTTGAATGACCATCCTAAGATCTCTAGCCTCCATCCTAGGATGACAGGTGTGAACCACCGGCACCGGGTTTTTAAATTTTTATTTTCTAAGCCAGGTGCTGGTGGCCCATGCCTGTAATCCTCACTACTCAGGAGGCTGAGATTTGAAGATCGTGGTTTAAATCCAGCCAGGGCATGGAAGTTCATGAGACTCTTTGTTGTTGTTGTTAGTCATGAGGCTTGAACTCTGGGCCTGGGTGCTGTCCCTCAGCTCTTCAGCTCAGGGTGAGCACTCTTTTCTTCTGGTGGTTTATTGGAGATAAGAGTCTCATGGACTTTCCTGCTCCGGCTAACTTTGAACCACGATCCTCAGGTCTCAGCCACCTGAGTAGCTACGATTACAGGCGTAAGCCACTGGAGCCCGGCTGTGAGACACTTATCTCCAATTAAAGCACTAAAAAGCCAGAAGTGGATCTGTGGTTCAAGTGGTAGAGCACCAGCCTTGAACAGAAAAGTTCAGGGCCAGTGCGCAGGCCCTGAGTTCAAGCCCCAGGGCAGGCACCAAAAAAAACTCAGAATGAATAACTAGGAGGCTGAGCCTGTGCAACCTCCCTGGCTCTAACAGCCACCACTGATAGAGCACTGACCACCTCCAGTATCAGACTTTTTATCGCATCAGATAAAGAAACTGAGGCCAGGGTACGTGACGTCAACCGAGTCCAACCTGCTAACGTCAGGGTCGGGATTCGAACTCAGGATCTGTCCTCGGTAGCGTAGGTGTGCTGTCCGCTCGCTCCTACCTTACTGGGCAGCAGCAGTGGTGATAGCAGCAGCGCGACGGACAGGTGCAGAACACACAGCACGCATTCGACAGAGAGCTCCGCAATCCGCTGCCTCCACACGGCCCTCTGTGGGCCAGGCCCCAGCTCGCCCTCTCCGCGGCCATCGCTGGCCACCCGCGTCTTCGCCGGCAGCCTAGCCCTTCGCAGGCAGCGCTGAACGGAAGTCCCGCCTTCCCCGCGCGCCCCAGGGTACCGCGACAGCCACACTGGCCAATTGGCGGCGCGCGGTAGAGAACGTCCGCCAATGGGCGCTCTCGCCAAGGGGGGGCGTGTCCGGGCCGCGGGCCGGAGCGGGTCGTGCGCGCTAAGGAGGAGCCGCCGCCGCCGCCGCCGCCGCCGTCGCCGTCGCCGCCGCCACCGCTACCGAGGCCGAGCGGAGCCGTTATCGCTGCCCCGCTGCCCACCGCCCGCCTGCCCCGGAGCAGTCCCGGGCCCTCCAGCCCGTGTCCAGGTGAGGCGAGGAGCCTTCGGTCGCACCCGACGGAGTAGGCCGCGGCAGGCCTGCGCTCGCCTAGCCGGGCCGCGGGCGCCCGCGGGCCTGCACCGGCTGAGGCCCAGGCCTTGCCAGGCCGGGAGGGGACGCGCGCGGGCCGCGGCGGGCGGGAGGGCGGGAGCTGGCCAGTCGCGGGGGAGGGAGGGGAGTACGGCGACAGGCCCCGGGCCGGATTCCTCTTGACGCCGCGAGGGGCGGGCGAGGTGGACCCGGCGTGGGCACGCGGCTGGGGGCCGGGCTGTGTGTCCGGGGGCCCCCGGCAGTCTCGTAGGCCCGGGATCCGGGGGCGGGGAGTGAGAGCCAGGGGCGGGGGAGCGGGACGAGCGCCTGGAGCGCGCAGAGGTCACTGCCCACGGGCTGGCTCCCTCGGGAAACCCTACAGATTCTTTTGTGATGGTTGTCAGGGCAGCGCAGCGGGGTCCGAGGGCCTTTTAGAAGTGTGCAAACCCTTCGGTACGTGTGCTAGCCCTAGAGAAGCAGGGGGGAGAAAAAGGAGAGATGATTTTTTTTTTTTTGATCGCCATCTCTAACAAAGCTGTTAGTGGGGCGTGGGATGTTTGGATTTGTAAAATGTGTTTATAGGTGGAAATACAGAGTGCACGCACTTGAACAATGGAGGGACGGATGGTCTTCCTTTTCCGGTGTCTAGGACTGATAGGTTTATAGATGTGGATTCTGGTACCTACTGGGGGAATAGGGTGGATGGAGATGAACTTTTTGCGCGGGGTGTCCCCCTGGAGCGATGGATACCCTCTCTACCTATTAGTGGAAAGTGGGGGGGGGGTTGTTTTTTTGTTGTTGCTGTTTTTTGAATCTTGATGGTCAGTTCCCTAGAAAAAGAAAATACGTAGTATGATCAAACTAGAGAAAGATTCTCAACCTGGGCATTATAGTTGGGGAGGGAGGGGGGAAGTTGTCAGATTTGGTTATTGTGTCCACTTTGTGCATTGTAGGAAGTTTTACAGCATCCTGGCTTCTTCCCCAGTTGTGAAGACCAAAAGTGATTCCAGATAGATGTCACCTGGCAAGGAGGGGTGGCCGGAGAGGTTCTTTTCTACCTTTCCCTACCCCCTATAGCCAGGTGGGAGCCACCACTGAGCTAAAGATTGTCTGGCCTCATCTTGATTCTCGAGGACATGCTCTCAAGATTTTGAACCAACACTATCGATGTTGAACCTTAGTCTTCTTTGTAATATGGGAAGGAAGAAAGTTTTGAGCAGATTCAAGGATGTAGGAAAGCCCTACCATTGTATATGATCTGTGCATGATAGGCATTGGCCATGTGCTTGACACTTGACAGACCTTTGTCTGCAGCCTTTGAGGCAGATGCTGTTAGAACTTCTATTTTAGAGATGAAGCAATGGTGGCTTAGATTGGTCACTGGATACGACCAGTGTCACGCTGAGTGGCTGAGATAGAATTTGAAGTCAGGCCGTGTGATTCAAAGCCCTTCATCTGAACCACTGGACTTCTGTTAAAGGGCCCAGGCATCCCAAGAGGTTATTTCAAGGAAGCTCATTCTCTTGTCATTCAACATTCGTGTGCTGCACTCAGAGCTGGGATCTGCTTAAAAGTGTGATGATTTTGAGATCTGAGAAGAGACTGAAGATATATAAACATGCCAGACAGGGCGGGAAATAGTGTTTGTGTTGAAGCCCAGGTTTGAGGGGGCAGAATCTGTCTGCACATGTTGAATGGTAGGTCACGGAGCAGCAAGTAGAAAGGGAAGGGAGAGAATTAGAAGAGTACTGTCTTTGTGGTGCTGGCTTTTCAGCTCTGTCTATACTCCAGGAACTGACTTTCGCTGATGCAAATCTGACTGTCTCCCTAATGATTAAAAGTCTTGGAGTGGGTCAAAGCAAATGTTGTTGGTTTGTTTGAGAATCTTGAAAGATAAAGTCAGAAACCCACATTCTGGGATATGCTACTTTCTGGGTTATGTTACTTCCCTTCCTTTCTGACTTCTTTTGCAAGTAGACTTCCCCCAACGCTGACCCTGCCTAAAATGCTGTCCTCTTCCATCCAGAGATATATTTCTCCAGTTCTGGTGCTGCATGGTCTAGCTCAGAGCTCATTCCACTTGAAGCCGCCTCCAGCTGCCACCCTTCCCCACTCCCACCCGAATCTACTGTTCCCTTATTTGTGTTCCCATCCCATTCAATGTATTGTATCTAGTTAAATGCTGAATGGTGAGAGTGACGTAGTAGCAGCCTTTTGCCCCTAGATGGCAGTAGTGCAACGGAGCTCGTTTCTCTGGGTCAGGGAAAAACCTAGAGAAACCGGCCCACAGGAGGGAAGTGAGCCCAGCTTGTTTGAAGGACTCTCCCTGCTCTAAGTTGTGTCCTAAGCCCTGAGCCGGGCTCTGGGGAAGCAATGGTGTGTTTATGTGTGTGCATTATTTAGCTGCTCTGGTGAGGGTAGTGATGATTCCTCACTGGCTGATGTGGCAACACAGAGAAAAGAACTGTTAGCCAAGACTAGGCGGGTCCAGACTGTTTCCTAAAGGAACTAAGCAGGAGGGTAGGAGAAGAAGCTAGGCCAAGTCCAATGAGAAGGGGTCTGCAGGAACCACAGGGTCCAAGCCATGAAGGTGGGGCCATCTCAGCTTGTTCGGGAACCCATGTGTGGCCCAGTACTTCCAGGGCAAGAAGAGTGAAATGAGTAGTGATAGAACTGAGTGTCTGCTGGGCAGAGAGCTTGGGTGCTCTCAGAGGCAGCTCCTGAGCAGTGCTAGTTCACAAAGAGAGCGTCAGGTGTGCATAAGGAAGTGTAGGAGGAGGGTGGTAGAGCCAGAAAACCAGTTAGGAAATTGCTTTCCTTCACATCAGAAAAGTATGACCTCAGGTTGCAGTGATAGAGGCGGATAGGGGACAGTTGAGATACAGGGGTCAAAACCACAGGACTGGGCTGGGAAGTTGGCTCAGTGGTAGAGTGCTTGCTTTGCATGCATGAGGCCCTGGGTTCGATTCCTCAGCACCACATAAGCAAAAAGAAAAAAGCCGTAAGTGGCCCTGTGGCTCAAGTGGTAGAGCACTAGCCTTGAGCTGAAGAGCTGAGGGACAGTGCCCAGGCCCAGAGTTCAGGCCCCACAACCGGACCCAAAACAAAACCACAGGACTAGCTGGGTGCTGGTGGCTCACACTTATAATCCTAGTTACTCAGGAAGCTGAGACCTGAGGATTGCAGTTTGAAGCCAGCCTGGACAGGAAAGTCCATGGACTCTTACTTCTAATTAACCACCAGAAAACTGGAAGTAGAGCTGTGGCTCAAATGTTGAGAGTAAAAGTAAAAAGCTTTGAGTAAAAGAGCTCAGCGGCAGGGCCCAGGACCCAAGTTCAAGCCCCATGACTGACCAAAAAGGAACAAACAAACAAACCGTAAGACTCCAGAGTACTTGGATGATTGAGTTGAGCCAGAAAGAATAACTATGGCTAACACTGCTGGCGCTCGCATGACTGGAAGTTTGTGGTCATTAAGAAACTGAGAGCCCAGCACCAGTGGTTCATGCCAGTAATCCTAGGTACTCAGGAGGCTGAGATCTGAGGAGTGCGGTTCAGCCCAGGCAGACACTCTTATCTCCTATTAACCACTCAAAACTGGAAGTGGCGCTGTGGCTCAAGTGGTAGAGTTCTAGCCTTGAGCACAAAGAGGCTTTGGGATAGCGCCTGGGCCCTGAGTTCAAGCCCTGCAACCTACAAAAAAAAGAAAGAAAGAAACTGAGAAGGCAAAAGGAGTAATTCAGTGTGGGACTGGAGACTAGAAAACACATCACTGGAGCTGATGTGAGGAGTAGGAAGGTGGAGAAAAACATTCACAGGTGCCTGAGGACTCACTTGTGTTCCATATGAATTGACAGAGCCAGGACTCATGCCTCCTAGATTGTAACAAATGTGATTGCTTGATCTTTGCCATGGGGAAGAGGGGAAGAGGAAGAAATTACTTCCTTGAAGAACTTAGAACCTTCTAAATTGGGGAGAAGAAAACCTCTATGTGTGCGATTTCATAACAAAAAGATGAATAGGCCAGACTGGGCAATGTGTTGGAAGAAACGATTGTCTGGTGTTAAGAATTCATATTTTGTCCAAGCAGTTGTGCTAAAGAGGTAATGGGAAGGCATCATTGGTTCCATTGAATGAGAAAAAGAAGGTGAAAACAGGCTGTGGAGGCTTGAGAGGACTGTCTTAGAGGGAATGAGGCTCAAGAAGGTAAACTTGGAGATAAATCTAGAAAGGTTTGCTGGTGTCAGATGGTAGCTGGTTCCTAGAAGACTGTTTGGTCAGGGAGAAGCGAGGAGCAACCAGTAAAGGGGAGTTCTACTCCTGAGCCTACTTCTATTCCCAGGGTCAGAACTGGAATTCACCTGTGTTTTGTGTGTTCTATGCTTTGCCCAGGGCCTGGCATGTGATTGACACTCCATGCTAGGGGTAGAAAGGGTTAGGTTGCTCAGACATGCTTGGATCCAGCTCTCCATCCAAGAGACCTTCATCCCAGAGGAAGGAAAGGATCACAGGAGAGGGACAGTGTCTAGGAACTCAATGGCAAGGCTGGTGGTGTCAGGAACAGAAGCTAGGAGACAAGGAAGAGGAGTTGTGTTGAGGGAAAGATGAAATTGACTTTAGAAATACCCTTAGGAGTCAGTCTAGGCA